TAACATACCTTACTGTTTTTATTCTACTGACATTCATGTTGTTTCTAGTTTATTTACTATTCGTAATCCCACAGTAAACATCCTCATATGGAGATGCTTACCTGCCAGTGTTTTTATTTCTGTAAAACTAGGGTTCAAATGTGGGATTGCTGAGCTATAGCATGCAGGCTCCAAACTTTCCCAAGTCCTCTCTTTTTCCCCAAAATCTTCAGCAATTCACATAACCACCAACAGAGTCGGGAGAGTTGCCCTGCCACACCCAACAGAAGATGTTACTACTCTTTTAAAAAGTGTACCACTAAATTGGGTGTGGTGGTACATTCCTATAATCTAAGCAGCTTGGGAGGCTGAGGCAGGAGCACTGGGGGTTCAAAGCCAAAGCCAGCCTCAGCAACTGTCAAGGTGCTTATCAACTCAGTGAGACCCTGTCTCTAAATTAAATACAAAATAGGGCTGGGGATGTGGCTCAGTGGTTAAGTGTCCCTGAGTTCAATCCTGGTACCAAAAAAAAAAAAAAAAACCTCTTTATTTTTTAATTTGCATTTCTCAGATCATTAGTGATGTTTTGAACCTTTTCTGCTGACCGATCATTTGATTCTCTTAATTTGCATCTCTTCTTCTGGGAATTGCCTATTCACATCATTTGATCATCTTTCTATTGTTTTGTCCTTTGCACAGCATTTAATCACACCCTCAATCCCCACCCTCAATCGACTAGATACACAAAATACAAGAGTATCATCCTCCAGAGACCCAGAGACTGAATGTTTCAGGTAAGCGCAGGGTCTGTCTTAATAAGAACATGGTAAACCTTCAAGAACATTTGCTAAATTTTGTTTGTTAAAATTGCAGCTAGAAAAGTATAAAGGAAATACAAATGTTCATTACTTGTTCTACATTTTCAGCACAGCATCAGTTTGACCAAAACTAAATTGCTGGTTAAGAGAAAAAACAAAATCATGGTCTTGGCACTGACTCTGAAAATCCACTGTGAAATGGATAAATGAGCCCAGTTCTAATTCATAGCTGTGGCTGACACATAAATAAAGGCTCTTACAACCAAAGTATTTTGTACCCAGCCTGGTCCACCAGCCGCCATTCAAATGGCACCTGCCACAGAGCCAAAGGTTGTTAGATAGTCCATGAACAAGAAAGGCCTACCTTAAGTATTTTATTCCTTTTTTGTTTTTGTTTTGCCCCTGTCTCCAAGACCTGCTTACCTTTCAAAATTGCCTCCTTATGGGGGTTGGGGGGTGGCCTGCAGAGAAATTTGGCAGAGTTCAGATTCCTAAACTCTTTTAACTTTAGGGAAAACATCTGGCTAGGCCCACCATTTATCCCCATTATTTGTAATAGTTCTGTTTGGCTTATGTTTTAACTAGTCTCCTTATTAAATATAAAAGCAATAGGATTAAAAAGTTCTGGGGGAAAGTACTGTAATTAAAAAGGCACCAGTTGGGTATGTGAAGCTATAATTCAGAGCTACTCATTATATTTTTCTTCTTGTCTTTAAAGGATTTTGTACTCAATTTTAAAAGACTTTGAATTATTTAACTAATTTTTAATACTTCCTGTATTAGCCAAACACCACTCAAAATCTACAAGAAAACATTATGACTCAAAAGTTCTGGAGCATAGTGTCACAGATCACAAACTAGAGATACTGTCCCAAGAGTATGAGCATGCCCCCACACATAAACACAAACAATACAGGGCCTGACAAATTGACTAGCAACTTTCCAAAATGCACAGGTATTACCTAACCCTTGGAAGTTACAAAATATTAATAGGAAAAAAAGACAGGAACTTTAATCAAGCCATGAAGTTATGATAACAGCAATCAGGCAAGAGGCAACAAAGCCCAGTTTTGAACACATAAAAAAGAGATAAATATTAAGGTAGTAAACTTGGGAGTAAGTACTGGAGGTATATAATAAAGTTTCTCTTTGAGTTGTTTATATAAAATTTTAATATGCACAAAAATATGTGACATAGTTATACAGTAAAATGGTAAAATTAATAAACATATATTTAGGTGTGTAATTCTTTCTCTGAGCATACATGATAAAAAATTATAATGTTCATCACCTGTAACTGCTTATGAAAACGAATGATGTTCTGGGAGTAGAGGGTGATGGGAATCACTGTAATTTAGTGAAAGAAAAGAAACTGGAATAGAAAATCACACACATGCACATGTGTGTGCTTACACACACACGCGCACACACACACACACACACACACACACACACACCCTTTCTTAAATTCTATCTTCACTTAAGAATATTCTAGGGAAGAGTGTTTGCAAAAACACAAAATGAAACAAAAACCTTGAACAAGTAGAGTCAGCAGTAGGTGAATTAAAAATACACAGATAGCTTACACATACTGAGTACCTAGTAACTCATTTAGCAGGGTTAGATTTTTCAAAGTTCACTTTCCCTTTGAAGATAGAAGTGCAACATCAATGCCTAATATAAAGACATCCTAGTAATTATTTAATGCCTACTAGATAACTGAAAACTGTACAAAGGCAAAGAGAAAATGGTGGTTCCACCAGTGAGAAAGAGGTATTTCCTACCACCTCTCAGACTGGAAACTTCATAAAACAGATGGAGGTTTTCTGCACTACTTTCTCTTCTAAATTGGAGAAATGTTATCTTAGTGTTTTCCACTATTCTTAATGCTCAATGTAAAAAAAGAAAGAAAAAGTGTTCCTGCAGGTAACCCTCCTGCCCCAAGGCCATTTTCCCCACCCATTATCCTCCTCAATTTTTGCATAGATAAATGAGCAATCAAGAAGATAGAATCTTGGAAACTCAGTGTGTGACATTTACGTAGGAAGCATTTATTGAAGTGAATAAATAGCTAAGAAGCAGCCTAATAATACCTGACATCACATCTAGATGAAAGCCTCTGTACTTCCTCCACATACATTTCTCCCCCCTCCACATACAGTTCTCCCTCCGCCCCACATTTTTGTGGTTCTTTCCATCCTCTCCAATGATGAAGACCCAATATGCTGACATGACCTCAATACTGTGACATCATTTCATTAAGACTTCAAGGAGAAAAGCTGGGACATTCTTGCACTCATCCCATCCCATCATAGGTCAGCAAACACGCGCCCACCCCCAGTCCCTTCACAAAGCAAAAATCAATCTATCAACAAAAGTAAAGATTTTCCACCTCCCAGCTAAGAAGTCCCCACCTCCAAGCTCTAGAAAAGAGGATAACCAGCAACCTGAGGAACGCCTCACTCAGCACACGCAGGCGCTCTAGGAAACAAAAGTGGTACTTAAAGCACCTGGGTGCTTGAAACCTATGTGTATTTTCGGACCCGTTTCTCCAGAACATCATCCCTGCTCTCCTGCTTTAAATTGTGTCTCTGACAATATCAACTCCTCAGCTCATTCCTCTCGTCTTCTGGAAATAACCACGGGTTAGTTTTCACCACGAGCCGCAGGAATTCTTCCTTTGCCCGTTATCTCGGCTCTTCCCCAGCATCAAGAAAGCAAGTTTCCCCCACGCGTCACCTGAAGCCCCAACTTATGGAAACGCCCCCTATTCGTCGCCTACAGCAGCAGGCACTATCCTAAGAGCCCAGCACGTAGAGGCCGAGCGCTTACTGCTTTGCCGCCCCAGCCAAAGAGGCGACTGGAGGCTTTTGGCTAGCAGACCCAAGCCAGGCCCTCGCCAGGATCCGCGAACTGGTGCGCCTCCTCTCTTGCCGGGAGTGAGCCCTAGCGCCCGGCCGAGCATGAAAGCGACCCCGAGCGCGGGATAAATGCTCTTCACCCAGCGCAGGGCCCGGGACGCGGCCGTGCGCACCGCTCCGAGGGAGCGCCAGGGGCGGCGGTAGGGAGAACACGCCAGGGAGAGGGGCGTGTTCCCTGAACCGCGGAGCACTAAGGCCGTATCCACGGGACCGGGGCACCGGGGAGCCAAGCGCTAGGTCAGTAACCACCGCTCTCAGCCCCAAATACCGTGGGGCCGGCCTGGCGACGCGCTGCAACCCGCGCGCCCTTGCGGGGACAGCCGCCTCCGCGCCTGCCTCAGCGCGCAAACTTTCCCAGTGACAATCGCTCCTGCCTCCCGGCGGAGCGTCGCGCTATCCTTGGGGCTCAGAAACTGTTCGCCCCCTCCCCTCCGCAGCCGAGACCCACTGAAAATATGGCGCCCTCGAACGTCGTTCCTCCGGCCCCTCAGGGATCCCGAAATGCCTGTCTCCAGGTCCCTGTGGCTCCCGGTGGGCGCGAAATCAAAGCTCGTGGGGCCGGGGAAGGAGCCGCTCAGCCACTGAGAGGCCACCGCTCTAGATCCAAACCCTGCCCTTGCTTTCGGCCGGGCGCTTCCCCAGTCTCTCAGCGGCCAGCAGTTTGCTAGTGGCGAGAATGGCAAGTGAAGGGGAGTCGTGGAGTCTGGAGGTCTAAGGGTCTAGCTCTGAGAAGGAGCTCCCGGTTGTCTTTGCTGGGAGCCTCGGCGGGAGTCTTGTTTGCAAAGTGGCGTTGGAGTCCGGGCGGCCAGTGCTGGAATGAAGCCGCTCCGCCCTCGCCAACTCTCCTGGCGCGGGGGCCCGGTCGGGGTCGAGGGGACACTCCATGCAGGCGGGGCCGCTTTTCAAAGCCCAGTTACCGGAAACCCGCGGGAGCCCCGGAGGGGATCAGCTGCCCACAGCCAGGAATCCGCTCTCAGGCGCCGGCTGCGAGACTGTTTGCAAACCGCGGCTCCCAGGTCGAGTGCAGTGAAACATACATGTGCAATAGACAGGTGCAATAATTTCATTTTATTTTTATTTTCCTACAAAAAGCCCTCCCAGAACATGAAATCTGGGAGCTTTGCGGGTTTTTTTCTGCATTGACATCACTCACGAGATGCAAAAGGGAGGAAAAATCACCCACATTTTCCTTCTGGAGAGGGGAGGGAAAAGACATGAGAAATTCATGCAGCGTGCATGCAGCTGGAGGAAGAGAAAAACCCGAGTGAGCCGTGCGCCTTACCGGGGGATGCATTTACTGTCTCATTGCAGAGCGCCTGCCCCGGAGTGCAGCCGGCGTCCCCCCGCGCGCCCGGCGATCGCTCCGCTCCCGCAGCCGCCGCAGCCGCCTCAGCCGCTGCCGCCACCGCTGGCTCCGGGCGCGGAACAAGAGCCGAGGGCGAGCGCGAGCGCACGGCCCGCGAGCGCCAGGAGGGCAGGAAGCGCGTCATCACTCGGGGACGGCGCGGCTCCGGTGCGGGCCCGGCGCCGCACGGCACCCGAGTCGGGCCGGCACCGATGCTCTGGAGACTCTCTAAGGTCTCTATATAGCGGTGCCTTGCCGGGAGGCTCTGCGAGGGAAGGCAACGGGCCCGCGAAGTTTTCGCGGGGAGACGGGGTGCAGAGTGTCTGCGAATCCCCAGAACTCGGGCTCTGCTGTGTAAAGGGGATTAGGCGGGGAGGGACTCGGCATCTTGTGGAATGGGGCCCCTGGGTCCTCCGAGTGCCTTCCCGGGAACATTGGCCAAGTCCTGGAGAAAGCGAAGTGTGGCTCTTACCGTGGATGAAGTTCTGCCGCAACGCGGGTGGCGGGAACCCCGGGCGAGCTTGCCCCCTTCAGCACGTTCACCGACGCCCTGCTGGTCGAAGGTCACTTAGGGATTTGGGGGAACGACTTGAGGGATGAGTGGAAGAAAAGGCGTGTTCTGCTTACAAAATAATTTAAAATTTTCTCCCGTCTACCATGCCCTTGAATAACATCAGTTATATACTTTGCCCCTTCAATTTATAGCTATTGGGAAATGCCTTAGGATAATGTGGATCAATGTGAAGATTATTAAGGAGGGAAGGATGTACCCTGTTATCCCATTTTTAAAAGTTATCCCGTATGGAAGGAGGCAGAAAAGACTGGGCAAATAATACCAATGCTTTCACTGGGTCTCTTGGTGATTGGTGGGATTGTGGATGGGTTTTCTTTTTCTGCTTAATTCTAATTTTTCTGTAAAGGAGACATTAGTGTTGTAATTTCAGGGGGGAAAATAAAGTAAGAAATAGTTTGGTGCTTTTCCCCTCACCCCAGTACAGAATGGCCAGAGTAGACCCCTCTTTCCAAAGAATAGGTACCAAATTTCTTTAGTTACTCAAACTCTTTAGTTACTGCAACTTTTCATTGTTTCTTAGAGCATGAAACAGCTGTCACTGTAGACTCAAGAGTGTGTTGATTTTGTAAATTGAAACTGTCTCGGAGAAGCCCACTGGGACATTGGATAAGACTGGACATTCTGTAAGAACAATCATGTTCTTATCAAGACTGACAAACCTGATTGTATGACTTAAGAGATCTTTATAACCTTAGAGTACGACTTTGTAACTTATTCTCTTTGCAGAGAATAAACCTTACAAATCAAAAACACAATGAGAACCAATCAGTAGCCACTTGAGGAAGTCCTAAAAGTTGCAGAGCACAGACTGTTTCTAATTGCACAGGTAAAATGCTTCTGTTCACCCCTTTTTAAACATTCATCAGCCTAACAGAATAACTAGTGGTGGCAGCAAGTCACATCAGGGAGTGGTTAAAAAAAAAATGTTTCAGTAAGAGCCTGGTAATAAGCTCATTAATGCCATTTAAGTTATCCCTTCATTCACTGACAAATAGTAACCATATTTTTATAGCTCCAGTGCCAGGATTACAAAAGACATGTATCAAAAAAGAAGAAAAGTCCATTGCATCTGATGTGATTTTCTCCTCTCCCCAGTTCATGGGGTGTAATGGCTACCCATAAAGCATATCATAATCAGTTTGTTCCCCCCACACCCTGTTGGATTTCAAGCTTTCCCATCATTTATCCCATCTTCCTTGAAGTATACCCATATTTTTCCACTACACAACATTGAGATGCCAGCCAATTATAAGAAACCCCATGAGAGTAAGGATCTTGTCTTCATTTCTATGCCTAAAAAAGAGCCTGGCATATAGTTGGTGCTCAATAAATATTTGCTTCATATAAATAGCATATTTGTACACTATTTGTTTAGTTCCTGAGATATTAGAAACATTCTTTCCTATTAGACTGTCAACATAATCCTGGAATGCTTCCACATAGACTTGTAGCCTTGGTTTAATCTAGTAATTTTACTCTGTTCAAAGAGTAAATCTTAGGATATTCAAAGCAGTGAGGTGCAGGTGTCTGAATAGCTATGATTACAAATCCAATTAGTACTATTCCTTGGCTCTCTTAGATCAATTAAACCTTTTCAATTGATCTAGTGAAAAAGAATGTCAGTCCTAAAATTCTTTGCTTATGTACTAGATTCAAACCAAGTGACTTTGAATATTGCATTTTATAATACTTCAGTTTCTATAACCACTCTTATTATTTCAAAGCTATTTGCTGATTCTTTAGGAAAACCACTATTTTATTGCCTATACTTTTCAACAAATTCCCCCATAGAAGTAAAATTGATTTTATCAGTCAGTAACTTATTGTAACTTCTCTGAAATTGACTCTCCCCCACTAGACCTGAGAAGTGATTTCTAAATTTAGAGTCAGATATTAGTACCCTTTATCTTTACTAGTCACAGTGGTCATAGTATTATAGACCAGAAAACAAAACTAAAACGACAACAACAAGTCCCAGCTAACTTCTTTTAAAAAGGTTATATTTGGGGGATTTGTTTCTACCAGGAAAACAGATGGTACTTTCTCTTAAGAGTAAGCAGGACCTGAGAGAACAACTCATTCTACCCCAGCAATTTCCAAAGCCTTAATACATGTTCTATTTCCTGCTCAGCATATTATGGGTAACTGAAAATAGATACATTTTGTATACATAAAGAATACAACTTTTACAGGGGTGGGTTGAGGGTGGGGTAGGGAGTGGCTTATGCATATGACTTGGGAGGCTCAGGCAGGAGGATTGCAGGTTCAATGCCAGCCTCAGTCACTTAGTGAACCCCTAAGCAATTTAGCAAGACCCTGTCTGAAAATACAAAATACAAAGGACTAGGAATGTGGCTCAAAGGTAAAGTGCCCTTGGGTTCAATCTCCAGTAAAAAAAAAAAAAGAAGAAGAAAAGGCAACATTTGAAGAAGCAAATAAAAAACAATTTTCAAATCACTTAACAATAAATAATCTGAAAGAAAAACTAATTTTTTCCACAAGTTAGATCTATAATTACTGAACTAGACATTACTTGATTCTAAAGAGCTGAATGCTGAGAGATTGCTCTCCCCTCCTCCTGTGGAACTTAACTTTCTGACATCCTGTCTGCATCTGTATGAATCTGGGGTCACATTCATTCAGCTTTCATACCTGAACAAACCCAACTGTATTTGGTGGGATTATTTGAAACCCACCAAATTTGGAATTAAAAAGAAATTCCACCAGATATTCCACTTTTATTTATAAGATCATATTTTGTGCCACGGTAAACTATCTTCTAAGGGATTCTTTGATATAGAATACACCACAGTTCATAGATTCCCCTCCTTTCAAGAAGCTTCTATCCTCTCCCAGGAGTAAGGTAGAAGTAGAAATCACATTTTCTAAAAATTGCCTATTACTCAGAACCAGTGATGAAAACAAAATATTCAAACTTCTATTCTCATTTGACATCTTCAGGTTTTTAAAAATTTCCCCATCTCTTTTATAATTATAAACTCTAGGAGAGAATATTACTAAGTTGAAGGACAACATAAAGACTTTTTGTTGTAATTGTTTGTTGTTTTGTTTTGTTTGGAGGTACTGGGATTTGAACCCAGGGGTACTTTACCATTGAGCTACACCTCCAGCCCTTTAAAAAAATTGTTTTAGTTTGGGACAGAATCTTGCTGAATTGCCCAGGTTGGCTTCAGACTTGTTATTCTCCTGCTTCAGCCTCCACAGTAGCTGGGATTACAGTGTATGCCTGGTTATAAGTTATTTTTATTTTATTCAAAAAGAAGATATTTGACATTTTGCAAGAATTAATATATTTTATCTTTTTAGCTATCTCTGAGTAGAGCTTCATCTTATTCCTGACAATTCAGGATGAAGTGATAGATATAAATCTAATTCATTCTCATTCTCCCCCTGCTTTCTCTTTCTCAACTTCAGTTGAGGTACAGGTATATTTAGAAAAGCAAGGAGTACATATCCAAGAGGGAATATAGGCTATCTCAAGAATAATAAATTATCTCTTTTAAGAGAAGACATTGGTCATATAGATTCAGGAAATGATTGTTATCATTGTATTCAACACAGGACATTCTTGAGATAACTTTTTATTTTATTATAGTACATATAACACACTACAGAAGTTTTTTGAAGTGTCTCTGGAGCAACATCCAGAAGAATACCAATAATTATTTTGCTAAATTGGATTTATTTTTAATTCAAATCAAATTGTTAATATAGAGTGAATAGTTTGGGAGGTAGCGTGTTTTTCTTTTGGTTGACTTAAGAAGAAATGTAGGGCTGGGGATGTGGCTCAAGCTGTAGCGCGCTCGCCTGGCATGCATGCGGCCTGGGTTCAATCCTCAGCACCATATACACACAAAGATGTTGTATCCGCAAAAACTAAAAATAATAAATATTTTTTTAAAAAAAGAAGAAATGTATGGGATTATACTGTGGTTAAAGTTCTTTTTAAAGTTATTGTGGATCTTCAAAACTGTCTATTACATATGTGACTTTTATGACTCTGATCATTTGAGATTTTTATAAAGTATTCTAATAGAATAGACAATATGATTGATGTATGTACATTCCATGTATGTATTATATATCAAAATGCATACTACTGTCATGTATGACTAAAAAAAATTTTAAAAAAATAAAAAAGTATTCTATATAAATGTTTTCATGAAATGTTCTATAATATCAAGATATTAAAGGAAGACTTTAAAATTAAAAAGAAAAAATTTAAATCTCTTGGCTCTGAAGGTGTTAAAATTTACTTGTAGGTTCCACAAGATTCTTTTAAAACATTTTATTACTAGGCACATTAGTGCACAACTGTAACCCCAGCAACTTGGGAGACTGAGGCTGGAGGTTTGCAAGTTCAAGGTCAGCCTAAGAACTCAGAAAGACCCTCAGGAACTTAGCAAGATCCTATATTTTTTTAAAAAGGGTGGGAAATGTAGCTCAGTGATAGAGAATCCCTGGGTTCAATCAC